GTAGTTACACTATTTTTCTCCTTCAGAAAAAGGCAATTAGAACAATGATGGGATGTAGCAATAGAGTATCGTGTAGAAATATATTCAAAGAATTAGATATCTTACCGTTGGCATCACAATATATATTTTCTTTATTATTGTTTGTATTACAAAACAAAACTCTTTTTCCATCAAACATTGACTCTCATACTATTGATACTAGACAGAGACAAAATTTGTATCTACCCCAAGCCAATTTAACTATTTATCAGAAAGGAGTTCACTATGCGGGTATAAAGATATTTAATAAATTACCCACAGAGGTTAAGAATACCTCAAATAATTTTAAAAAGTTCAAGGTTGCATTAAGGCATTTCTTAATTACTCACTCGTTTTACACTGTGGATGAGTACTTAATTGGATAACTATTGTAATACAAATACTAATTATATTGTCTTGAATTTAGTACGCTGCTTGTCTAGATGTAATTGTTTAATGTATGTATTTTATGTTTTTATACTTGAGTTTGTGACGTGTTCTATATCCACTATTGGATTCTTGGAACTTGTAAATAAAAAATGAAATAGAAGCCAGTACTAAAAGAGTATCTCACTCCTACTTCATATACAAATTTACCTGCACCAAAAATTATCAGCTATTTTAAACATATGGAAGAAACAGTGGTAAAACTTTATTGTGTAATTATTTTTGCGGTAATACTGTAGTTCATTGGAAATAATAAACAAGTACTCTATTTGTGTTGTAACGTGTTCTACGTCCTTGGCTTTGGTTAATGAAGTATCCATTGAATGTAAACTAAGTCTATTTTATTTTATTCTATTCTAATAAAAAAAATTTCTAACCTGCAATGTAGCAACCTCTAGCCGCATCGAACACATAGACATCCTTCAGCGTGGAGAGTCACGGCTTCGACCTACACCAGCCACAAAAATTGCTAGTAAAGCAAAGCAACATTCACATTCCGCCATTACAGCTAACGGTCGAGAACCAATTTCTACTTTTAAAATTTCCACAGAAAAAAAATTCATCAGCTGGTTGGTTGGTAAACTTACTGTGACGTGCAGTGATTTAAAATTTTAGCTTACGTTATCCATGGAAAAGTTGTTTGAAACAGAACAGAGAAAGGTTTAATTATCGGATAATATAAAAAATGTGTACAATCTTCAACAGTTTCGCTGCCAAAGCACTAGGTGAAGACTGTAAAGACAAGACGACAGGAAAATAAAAAATATTTTCTAGCTTTAATTGTTCCATAGATATCACAGATGAACATCTGATAGAAGTACATTATTCATATTTTAAAACGTTCTACTGTATATTGGTATTTTCGTAAATAGAACACTTTTATCTGAAAAGTAAATTAGACCTAACCTAAACTTTAAATAAATACCAGCTATTGTAATATTGCCAAATTGGGCTCGTATTTCGCTAATATAGAAATTAAACTCTGAAATCAAGTGATGTGAAGTAAAGTAAAACAGGTGCAAGCAATTTTTAAGTAAAATTATAAAAGGTGTTTAGTATTTCAATAAGTATATGTAAGGGTAATGTTTTTCAAGTGCAATAAAGTATCTTGTCATGAACACATCCACATTGTAAATTTAATTGAAAATATTTACTTTAGTCTTAATCTTTTGCAAAATTAGTTAGGCCAGTGTTATGGCAGATCGTATTTTTAACATACTATGAGGTAAACGCGGCTCTTGCCGAAGAAAGATCATTGAAGGTGTATTATATATTGATTGTAATTGCTGGTTCTGTTGGGAATGGGGCAAGATCACTATTAGTGACACATTGTAATTGACCCATGGTTTTGGTTTGGATATATAAACAGTCTAGGACAGGAGGAAACTATTTTGGGTCTGCAGGAAGAGTTCTATTATTAAATGCAACTGTCCACTCACTGGATATATGTTTAAGCCAAATGTAGCACAGAAACAAACTTCTTTGTTCCAGTGAGAATCCAAACTATAGTGTAAAACTGAACAGTAAATTTGATGCTTTGACTGTGTCAGAACTTTAAGGAGTTTCTCAGTTAAAGATGAAAAGAGGATCCTAAACCTATAGTCAATAATAAGAATATTAAGAAATGTAAGAAGGTCCTGCTTCAAAGTTGATGTCACTGTAGAGGACTACATAAGCATCTTCACTCAGTTCTGGGGGATGAGTGCATGGTTACAAATATTCAAACCGAACACTACACTTGACAGTGTTGTTGCGGAACTCTGAACCCTAAGTAAAATTTAACAAAGGATGATCATGTAATTGTAGTAGGAGGACCAGGTAATAACCTAGTTAGAGATCTGAATTAAAAGATTGAAAATAACTAGAGCAACACGCTCCTTCCAGAGCGCTGTCTCTATCTGATATTTTACTTCTTCACGTCACTGTTCAGAGGCCAACTGTTCTTGGTCAGTCAACTTTCTACGTCCAACTCCACCCTTACCAATCTTCAATATATTATTCAATAAAGATGTATTGTCTGTTAAAATACTATGAGTAATAATGGAAGGGGATTGTTGAAGGCAATATACCAAAACAGCAATACAGAGTAAACAAATGGCGAAACATTTTTTATTCTACGATTTCAAATAATAAAAGTGTGACACTTTTACATTTGTCGATAAATTTTCTAGATTTTAATGTGATTATCCTCGAAGATAAGCCATTCATCGCCATGCTTTAAAATGTCCGTCATTTCCAGTACCTTTAATGTCTACGAATTCGACCGCACTTTGCAATTTCCAATATTTTCTTGTCTCATTCTCATTATTTCAAATGTCAATCTATTTATTTCCAAAATCATGTACTTTTGATGGTCACCAACAACAATTTCTTTCGTTCCACATACGTAGCTGGGGGGGGGGAAGCGACGAGAAAAGGCAAATTAGATTAACCACAGACTAAAAACTGCAAGTGAACTGACAGACAAGCACTGGTGTCTAGAGAACAGGATGCCGAAAGGTCAATGCAAGAGGCTATTGCTCTTATTAATAAGAGATGTGACATCTTCTGTAGCAATGACCCCAACTGGGAGCGTAGCTCAACTGTTAAGAGAGGAATTCATACAGTTTTACAGCCATACTATAACTTATTATCAGAAAAGAAGAAAACCAAACAGACATCTATTCTATCGTTTTTAAAGCAGTAAATTTTCTTTCTTTTTCTTAACCATTATACAATTTTCAATACGTAAATTTCATAAAATAAAACATTGTAACTTGACCACGGCACTGCAGGAACAACTCGGCACAGATGACACTCAAGGAACTCCGGTATGCCAGAGGCCGTGAAAACACCACCATCACATACTCTTGCATCCAGTATTGACAGCAAGAAACAAGTACTAAGCATCAACAACAGCTATCAAGATAGTACTGTTGTAGGATTTGTAGTTGAAGAAGTAGCTGCCGCTGTTTGATGGAGCTGGAATGGTCAAGTGTTTGCCATCTACAGAACCTGCATATCTAGGGATATGCCATTTTTCTGCAAACATGTCAGAGATGCATTGCCACTCCTGAATAGCATTTGCAGCCTGCAACAAATACATACCAAATTTTTGTTTGCATTGGGAGAAACATTATAAATAACACAACATTACGAAATTACATTCACTCTGATATTCAGCAGAATGGCTGTTACGTATAGTAGAAATGTTGTATACCAAAGGTCCCTAATTCAAGCCCTAGTTTATTCTGTGTTGTAGCAGAACATTCTCTACTAGCTTACTACATACAACAAGCCTTTCCCGTCTATTTTCTGATGTGATTTCAGATGGATGCTTTACCCGATACAGGGGACACAAGCCAGTAGCAAATAATAAACTCTTGTTATTGATTTGCACACTTCTGGTACTATACCACTGATTTTACAATTAGGAATCCGAAACAAGTAGCTTAAATTTGCATAAGAATCGCCTAAAATAAATAATAACGAAAAAAGTTTTAAAAATGTATAACTATTATACAACATATTCTGTTACTGAAGTATCATGGCAACAGGTATGTATGAAGGATATCATGGACATATTAAGAATATCTCCAAAGGGTAAAATGTTAGATATTCTATAAAAATTCCACATATACAAAGGTAGTAAACACAAATCCATCATTAACGAACAAAACACCCAAAATTCTAACGTATTATTTGACCTAGCATTAAACAGGAGAGTAAAATTTGTTTCAATAGTTGGCCACCCTGATTTCGAGCTTATATATACCCCACACATTCCAACTGAGTCTCTCACCCACGATTCTGGAGTTCACAGGTGCGGACAACACAACCACAGCTGACCGCAGACCATCTATGGCTACCGAACCATCAGATCAATAGCTAAGTGCATAGTTCTACTCTGTGAATAACAACATCTAGTGCAGTATCATTTGAAATAACATTTGTGAAACACCTTATTTATTTCTAAACCTTTTGATTAAATGAATTAATTTCCCAGATGCCACTGATGATGACCTCTTCAGGTTGAAATGCGTATGGCAATAGTGTCTTTTTATATTGTTAATAGTTGTTTGTTTACTTATTTTATACTCTAATACACTACACAGTATGCAAAGTTTAAAGATGGCAGAGGAAACATGCCAAAATCGTTGCTCACTTCAAGTTACTTTCTTGAGAGGCAAGAGGTCTTACCTTTGTCATCTAATATTCCATTGATAAATTCTTGTAAATAATCTGGTATAGTTTGTTCTGGAACACACAAACAGAACAGAGTCAAGGATTATATGCCAGCCTACATTCTTTTTTCTGTTTCTAAAAAAATGACAAAGTTTTGTAAAATCACAATGCTCCTCCATAACAACTTGGCAACAGAAGTTGTAAATGGACCACAAAGTTTACTAACGCTGTCATTTTATGACTTGGAAACCAATGGACTGATTTTGATCAACTTTTGTACTGAAGGCACAAATTTGTCGAAGAATCCAAAATGTTCCAAAGATGAGCACAAATAAAACATTTTCAATAATTGCTATTTATATAAGACAGCAAAGTTAAAATATTAAAATGATAGCAGAGGAAACATGGCAAAATCATTGCTCAGTTCAAGTTACTTTCTTGCAAAAATAGAGGTCTTACCTTTGTCAAGAAGTATAAACTTCATAAAATTGTCAAAGTCCTCTGTCATAGTTGGTTCTGGAACACAAACAGAACAGAGTCAAGGATTATATTCGGCCTACATTCTTTTTTCTGTATCTAAAAAGATGACAGTTTTTTGTGAAATCACAATGCTCCTCCATAACAACTTGGCAACAGAAGTTGTAGAGATAAAAAGACCACAAAATTGACTCATGCTCTCATTTTATGACTTGAAAACCAATCGCCTGATTTTGATGAACCTTTGTACTGAAGGCACAAATAAGCCCAAATAATAAAACCTCTTTAATAATTGCTATTTATAAAACAGCAAATTTAAAATCTAAAAATGATAGTAGAGGAAGGATGGCAAAATCGTTACTCACTTCAAGTTACTTTCTTGTGAAGACAGAGGTCTTATCTTTGTCATCTAGTATGCCATTTATAAATTCTTCCATCTCCTCTGTTATAGATGGTTCTAGAACACACAAACATAACAGTCAAGGATTATACTCAGCTTACATTCTTTTTTCAATATCTAAAAAGTGACAGAGTTTTGTGAAATTACAAGGTTCCACCATAACAACTCAACACCAAATTAACTGAGAATTATTAAATGTGTATAAGTTGAAGGTGAATACACTATATGTAATTAAACTAGTGAAAATGGTAATCCATTAGTTCAGTTTGCCTAAATGAATAATTTAATGGTAATGAGTGCTTAGTTTTACCATAAGATTATTCATAAAGGTAACCATCAGGACATTCTGAAGAACCCCTAAGTAAGCATGATGTAAATGCTGAAAGAAAGAATGAAAATATTAAACATGCTGCACTGCACAGCCCTTGATTATCCTGCTTTAGGGAAAATGCAATATTCAAATTAAAAAATAAATAAATAAATAAGGCTCCAGGTGAAGATTCTATTACTGATGAATTAACAAAACATTGAGGTCGTCTTATTGGGAAGAATATATAAATTCATATTTATGATATGGGACCAAGAAAGAATGCCATCAAAATGGAAGGAGGGGTTGATGTGCCCAATTTTTAAGAAAGGGGATGAGTTTCAATGTAATAATTATATAGAGGGATTACCCTGTTAATTGTGACATACAGAATCCTATCATATATTATTCTTTAAAGACTTAATATATACATCAAAGAGATAGCAGTTGTATGCTGATGTGGATTTTGACCAATTAGAAGCATCATGACTAAATACTTGTGTTGAGGCAAACAATGTAAAAATGCTATGAATATAATACAGACTTGCATGTGTTACTTATTGATTTATATTAATGTGGACGATATGGTTGAATATAAATACCTTATATTTGGTTTTATGCATTTTATGACAGAGTAAATTTCACATGTTTCATGTCTCTTTGAATGAGAATTACTGTGATGATAAAATTTAAAACATTACAGTTACACAATTTTTAATGTACATGTACTTGACATTTTTGGAATTTGCATCAAACTCAAAACCTTTTCATTTCCCTTAATTAATTTTTACCCACTTATAGCTGAGTTATGGATTTTACTGCAATAAGGCAAATTGTGTTTAAAATGACAACTATCAACAAAAGTTGCCAGTCCCTGAAGAAAAATCCATTGTGAAGTGACATCAATCACAGCGATGCTGAAGCATCATGTGAAGATGTGTCCAACAGATGCCTAATACTCGTAGAAACACTATCTAAACTTGTCTCAGTGGTTAATTTATAGAAAATAATAGGTTTAATCTTTGAAATACACTTACGCTCCACAGCCCAGTCTTTATTTTCTGTCTGGTAATAATTTTGTCAGTTCAATATGGGACATTTGTGATACCTTTCCTTGTTTATAGTGTATTTAACTTTGCTTATTAAGTGTCAAATGAGAGGATGATAGTGAATTGTAAGTGATGTGGAAGGATGTGGTCGTGGCATAATTTATGGTACTATCCCAGGATTTGCATTGAGGGACTGAAGAAATCCATGAGATACGTCATAAACTGATCCCAGGTGAAAGAAATGTTATTCACGATCCCTTAGTTGATGCTGTAAAAGTATTTTTACTGCCACTCCATATAAAACTTGGTTTAGTAAAAAAATTTGGCCCTGCTTTTTTATATCTGCAGCAGAAATTCCCCCCTTCCAGTGAGGCAAAGATAAAAGAAGGAATTTTTGTTGGCCCACAAATAAGGAAACTTACAACAGATGAAACTTTTGATTATATTTTGCATGAAGTTGAACTAGTAGCTTGGACGGCATTCAAAGACGTCTGCAGCAATTTCTTGGGAAACAATAAAACAGACAGCTACCAGGAAATTGTGGAAAGTCTCCTCCAGTCATATGAAGCAATGGGGTACAACAAGTCACTAAAGATTCACTTCTTACATTCACATTTGGATTTCTTCCCACAAAATCTTGGTGCAGTTAGTGACGAACATGGAGAGTGTTTTCACCAAGACATTTCTGTAATGGAAAAACAGTACCAAGGGAAGTGGAATGTTAACATTCTGCCAGATTACTGCTGCAGTATATCAGGGATTGCCTGAGACTAATTACAAATGGAAGTCATTGGCTACAAAATTTTAAAATAAGTACATAATTATTATAATGTAATATTGGATTCAAATATGCACAAAAATTATATTTTTTAATTGTGTATTTATTTTTAACTAAGGGTGATAGAAATATTCTGAAGGTATATCTATAAACAGCATAAAAACAGTCCAGGAGAACATGTCATACATAAGGAAACGATATAAAAAACCCTGTATATTAGTGGCATCAATGTACATACGTTAGTTTAACATTTAACAAAATGATTTCTTCGCATAATGAAACAAAAATGCCTGCAATTGTTTAAGAATTCACTGTAGAGAGAGATGAAATACCCTGATTAACAATGCAATTTTATGTTCTATTAGTACAAACTTAATGCATTACAAGAACTTTCTAATATTGATAGAAACATTTCATGGTCTTCATCCTAGTTTAAAATCTTTGTTAAAGAGAATAGGTCACAGTTTATTCACTAAGATGCTGAATATCAATGCAAACTCTGAAAGGAACATGCATCCAGTGCTTCTTTTCCAAGGGATACCTAGTCTGATTGGCTCGTATAACAATGTGATTACATGTACCCACGAATTATCAAGGATGTGGAAGCAAACTCAGTATCATAATATGTGAAACACAGGGAAAAATATGCATAACATATCTATTACTACAATCAAGCTGGTTATGAGACCAGCAAAAGATGTGGATGTAATATCAAACTGATTTCTGAAAATTATATTGAGAATAAGAACTGAACCGAACTGGCTTGAGGTTGTTCCCACTAGCAGACATCAGTAATAATGGTCGTTTGTAAGCAGCAGGATGAATTACAATTTGCAGCTTTTGTAATATATAAGGCTTTAGACGTTTTTGGGATATATTTAGACAAGATCTCCCTGTATTCTTATTATAGATTTCTTTAAATTCCTGTTTTGAAAAATGTTAGAATACAGTATAAAGTATATTAAGACTATGTAGGCTATATTACAGGTACAGAAAAAAAAAGTGTTTCATTCGAATTCATACTTTAAAAATTCAATTTCTTAAGTAAAAGGAAATTAATATGGCCCACTGCTGTAAAAAAATTGTTGCGTGTGCTTTTCGTGAATCCTCATAAAAGTAGTAATAAAATCACCAATTTTACAAGGACAACAATATAACGGATCTCAATAAAACGGGAATGCAGTGGAGCGCAAAATTTCACTTACCTTGCTAGCAAACCGCAAATTAAAACTGCTGGTGACTTCCCTTCCGTATGCACCCTGTGCTACCATATGTGGCAAATTTAATACAGTTGAAATTAAAATTGCACAACGATTCAATACACTTCCTTTACCAATTATCGTAATACTTCTTGCACGATAACCTCTTCTGTGTTGCACCACATTTTACATAGTAAAACCACTAACGAGCAAAGAAAGTAGTATGGTTTAACACTCCTCGCTTACAGCCTGTCATCTAGCCCGACCTGTTTCAACAGGGTGTTAGGTGGTATCTACAGCACATATTATCACACATAATTTATAAGAATCGTGGGTTTTTCATAATAGTGAATGAAGTCTAAAATCCAGATACTCAGTAATCTAGCATACAGTTGCCTGCGCAAAGTGAGAAAGTTTAGCAGTTGGCAGTTCCGAGTTATTCCCCACTTCTTTAAAGATGGTGAACTCATGACGTTATCATATGTCGCCAATCACAAGTTTTGTGTCAAAGTTTAAGTCAGTATAGTTTGACGTATAAAAATAACTGTTATACTCAGTGGAGGAGTAGAAATTTTCAAGCTTATTATGCAGTTTTCTCCATGCCCATCCTCTTCTGTCCTAGGCCCAAATATCCTCCTTAACACATTTTCTCAAACATCTGTAGTCTATATTCCTCCCTGAGAGTGGGAGATTATGTTCTTGGAAATCAAATGGGATGACAGAATATTTTGAACCGACAAGTAGCAAGCATTTCTGGAATCTAGTCTCCTAATTTCTTCGTGAATGTCATTTTGATTTGTTATTGTTCCCAAATATATGAATTTTGTCACATTCAAAGGGTTAACTGCAAAAGCAGACTTCCTGTGGGCATGGGGGTGTGTCACAGGCCAGAATGGGGCACATGGCTGTTGCTAAACTTCTGAGTAGTAGAGGTATGTGACTTTCAATCGGGACAGTCTTTTCTTTCATCTGGGTTATATTTCATATTATTTTAATGTAACTCTGCAAGAACCTTTTTTCTAGTGAATTCACACTGCTTTACAGGACTTTGAATACAAAACACAAAATCCTATCAGAGTGTGCAGAATTGTCCTTCTACCCTGTGTGAATCATCTGAATTATAAAATAATAAGACCACAGTATTTCGGAAGCTGAATTCTGCTCAAATATTCCTGTAAAGAAGAGGGAGGATATATACATCCTTTGTGCTAGTCTGGAGCAGTTCTTAGACAACAGGGTCAACAGATAGGATTTCTGTTTCCTTTCCCTTTTATACCTTATGACAGATGCAGAATAATAATTTTACATATTTTAGTGCACCGTCATCAGAAACCTTCAGACTTTGTTTAGATTTTAGATTTTGAATTCATACCTTGTATAGCTGTGTGGATTCTCAAGAAAAATTGTTCTTGTCGGGTTACATTAACTGAAAAATTGATAACCTGATTTTAAGCATGCAAGAGAATGTCATAATTTTTAAACACAATGTCATACAAAAAACAAGGACAGTTAATAAATTCAGATATATGTCCCTTTATCACCATCCCCATCACTTTGTAACATCTTTAATCACTCATGTTCTTTGTATACCCTGTTCATATGTTATGTTTTAGGGGTGACATCTGAAAGCTGGATAGCCTGGGAACTTATTGATGCTGTGGAGCAGAGCCAAGGCAAGAAGGCTGGCAAACCTGGTGAGTATATAGTGGCGATAAAGATGTTGGCAGTGGAAATTGGAGCTGGTTTAATATGACCCGTACTATTTGCATTATTATGCATTCTTTGCCAAATGTGTATAAAATGCACATTTATTGTTTTTCTCTTTGCAAGTTGCAGCTTAGAACGTACATGTTATATCATTAAAAGTAACCCCAAACTTGTACTGTTTCATTTTCTAAAATAATTATGAACAATATGGTGGATACTGAAACTAGTGAGGTGGGACAAACTCTAGCACTACATAGTGTGGGGCCCTGGAAAGATGGTAAAGTTTAAGAAAGTATGCAACTTTTGTTAAGGTATGTGAGATTATAGTTTCCTATGGCAGTGAAGATGATAGTTTTGTCCTTTTGTGTTGTGACATTGTGCAGACTTGTAGATAGACACCTTTAAGTCCACATGGCATCTCAACCCAGAATAACATAATCATTGCTTTGTTAATGTGATTTTTCTATAGAATGTAAAGCAACAATATGACAGTTTTGCAAGCACTGACTTCAGCTGTAAATTTGACTGTGATAACTAATGAACCATTGTAGCTGGGCAAATAAAATTTAGTACAGAGCTAAATTATAAATGTACATATAAATTACATGAAATGATGTGGGATTTGACGTTTTCACAGCGGTGAGTCTGAAGATTGTGGTCTTCTGGGTTATTGCACCAGACTACATGGCACAATAACCCAGAAGATAGCAATCTAAATGAAATGATGTTTGTAAGTCAATAATTACAGACATTTTGGCAAAATGTTGAGGTTACATTTGAGAAATTTGATACAGAGCGTGCATGTAATAAGTTCTTTTTTCCCTCAAAAGTACTAACATTTTGTGATATATTTACAGTTGCAAGTGATAACTAAAGCATTTAACCTTAGTTGGCATTGATCATGTGACCATCTGTGCATGAGACCACAGCACCAACTCATGAGCTGCATTACATTATAGGAGATGGTGCACAGAGATAATAGTTGCAGTTGAATATTGCAACTTTATTCTGTTGGATTACCTATTCATACTTGACTCAGTAATTAATTCTTTAGATTTAAAGTTCATTTAAATAATGCTTAAAAATTCAATTCCTACTGCAAAGAAACCAATTTATCACTATTACAAAGATCTGTTGCTTGTTGTTGTATACGGAAATTGTCACTGTGTAATCTGAGGATAATACAAAACCCATAAATGTACTCTGTGGGTAAAATGGAGAATTAATGAACATTAAAGGATGCGATACACACAATTATGACTCAGCCTTAAAAGGATAAGTATTAATTCTTGAAGGCTGTTTGTCAGAGCAATGACTACAAGACTAAATTGTTAACTGACTTAACTGCAATACAATATGGAGACTTACAATAAAAAGCCAAAACAATACCAAAAATATCAAACCATTGCTAGGACACTCAGGATGCCAAGGTGCAGAAAGAATGAATGCTGAAACTCTGTGTACTCTGCACATTTCCAGTCTCCTTTATGACTAATAAAAAGTCATACATCAGAGATCTGTTGATCAAGTTGCAGAGTTTTGATTGTATTTCTGTTTTCTGAACTGGAGTGCCTCTTCCCTGGTTTCAGTGGGTTATGGCACTTGATGGTGATGCACCACTTGCAGCTTTTGTCTCCCCCAATTTTAATCAGCAGTAGTGCTCAGAGGTCTGAATGTGGAACATTTGAAAGATCTCTGATACCTTATAAGTACATCTTTTCACAAACACATCTGTCAAGGCAGTCTGTAGAGAAAAGTCTTTGGGTTCAGGTTTTGGATTCATGCCCATGTTGAGAGTTACATCATGAAATGCTTTGAGGTCTGTCAGGGTCTCATGTTTCTCAGATTCTCCTTTTTAAACTGTGCATTCTAATTTTGCCTTTCTGAATTGATTTGGTTCATTAATAATTTATGATGTTGCCCTTGGTGGACCAGTGGTTAGCATGCTTGCCACTGGACCCAAGGTTCGTAGGTTCACACCTGGCTGAGGTCAATGAATTTTTAAGGGTGATAAAAATCCAAAGCACAATTTCCTTCAGAGGGGAAGTAAAGCTGGTGGTCCCATGTCGTAGATTTACGGCATGTAAAAGAACCTTATGAGCATGATACAAGATATTTCGTAAGCAAAATTCAACAGCCATTTCTCACCCATATCTCTCCTCATTCTCTACTAGATGGCTCTAGCAAACAAATCAGGATTGAGTAGAAATTGTGCAGAAGCAGTGGGCTTGTCACTCACTACTCAAATGCACCCTAGAAGACTAATAAGGACTAGAGCAACTATCTCGGAATGGGTCAGTAGGCACATTCCTTGTAGTAGTTGATGAATAATTTATGATTTCAAATACTCTGACAAGAATTCCATAAAGATTATGATGGGGAAGAATGTAACTTGGCCACTGGAAGCTTGAAATCCTTTGTTAATGCATGTGATTTGAAAGGTTTTAGTCAGAATTATCATTTATCTTTCTTCATACGAGCAGCTCTTCCATTCTTATTTTTATGAATGCTGGCTTCACTCACATCATACATGCCATGGAGGCAATTGGAGCATAGGAGGTATAGCTGCTGCTACTCCTTGACCTCACCAGTAGATGGGGGTGAGTGGTCAGCATTATGACACCCCAGCTGTGCTTTACACTTAAAGAAGGGACTTGTGGTACCTATTAGGCAGGGGCACCAGAGCTCGTCTGCACACAGAGGCCAAAAGAAAAATTCTTTGCCCCTGCTGAGGATTGATGCCCAGGCATTGTCAATAGTCAGACAGAACACTGACTGAGCTACCCTGCCTCTTCATCACTCTCATTATCAGTATTATATTTATATTCATATTATGAAGCAGATTTAGATCAACAGTTATCAGTTTGTTGATCATCAGTTCTTACTGTTATTTTGTTTTATCTTCATTCTTACAACCTTTCTGTGTTTGCATTATTTATTTAATTTAACTGTGCATATAGCAGAGAGATTATTCAGAAGGCAGTAATTCTGATACAGTGGTTCTCAACCTTTTGGTTCTTGCAGTGTACTTGGGATACACTAGATTGAAAATTGAGAACTAAAATTTACAAGAGTACACCATTTTTAAGTAATGTAAAATTATCATAAACCAAAGATGATAAACTTTAACTTATTAATAAATTATACTTAATTACAAATAACAATGTGACACACACATTTCATTTTTTAATTTGCATATTTAGTAATTTTATACAACTTTTCTTGTATTCAGATCCTTGCATCTCACTTGGTAAAAGCTCATGGCACACCAGTTGTGAACCACTGATCTGATACATGAAGTTCACTAAACATATAAACAGGTGAAACAACTGACATCAGATA